CTCTCAGTCAAATAAATAAATAACATTAAAAAAAAAAAACCACCTCATTATTGTTTTGTTGTACAATTAGTCTCTTTTAGGAAGTTTTAGGATTTTTTTTTAACCTCACACAAGTAGAACATGTTACAATTCTTGAAGTACTTTCATAGATCATTTTGTTGGATGACTCCCTTCTTTTTTTTCTTTAAGATTTTATTCATTTATTTTTTAAGACTTTATTTATTTATTTGACAAAGAGACACAGCAAGAGGGGAAATACAAGTTTGGGGGAGTGGGAGAGGGAGAAGCAGGCTTCCTGCTGAGCAGGGAGCCCAAGGTAGGGCTCCATCCCACAGCCCTGGGATCATGACCTGAGCCAAAGGCAGACCCTTAGCCGACTGAGCCACCCAGGCGCCCCAAGATTTTATTTTTAAGTAATGTCTACACCCAAAGTAGGGCTCAAACTCACAACCGCAAGATCAAGAGTTGCATGCTCTACTGACTGAGCCCGCCAGGCACCCCTGGACGACTCTTTTCATGAGCACCCAAGAGAAACCTCCAGAAAAATAACAAACAACAACAGTCTACAAGGGGCTGAATCTGCTAAAGGTTTTGAATAGTTCTAGGGGCTCAAGAAAACACCATTTTGCAGATGAAGAAATGAAGTCCAAAACGTTAACCAACCTGTTGCCTGTCCAAGGTCAGAAGTCTGTTTCTGTTGCACCCTACACAGCTAAGAGGGCTCCTTTAACCACAATAAACTTCACAGAAACAAATATGCCACACAGAGTGTAAGCTCTCTTTCTCCTCTGTCGAATCTTAAAACTCAGGAATTAAAAAGCTTTTTTTTTTTTTCCCTAAATTAAATTTTACTTAGTTAACATACAGGGCAATATAGGTTTCTGGAGTAGAATTCAGTGATTCATCACCTACACACAACACCCAGTGCTCATCACAAGTGCCTTCTTTAATACCCATCTAGCCAATCCCCCACCCACATAGAAAGGTTGTTTTTGGTTTTTTAAGATTTTTTTTTTTTTTAGATGTTGAGAGAGTGTGCATGTGCGAGGGAGGAGAAGGGGCAGAGGGAGAGAATCTCAAGCCAGGACCCCCTCCCCCGTTGAGCTGGGAGCCCCATAGGGGCTCAAACCCAGGACCCTGAGATCATGGCCGAGAGCCAAAACCAAGAGTCCAATGCTTAACTGACTGAGCCACCCAGGTGCCTGTGTCTTTCCAATAAATATCTGCACTATACCCAGGCCAGCCTAGGACCAAAGCTGAAACTGATCTGATTCACCTGCCAAAGTGTCAGTTTTCACAGCATCACTATCAATAAGCAAAGCATCCCAGCACAGCACAGTGGGCTCTTTCTACCAAGGTTACCAGTGAGGACCCTATTTCTCAATTTGATTCACAAAAATAAAATGTTTCCAGGTTCTTGTCCCATGCTTGTTTATTTACCTTATGCTCCACCTTGTTACAAAATATTTTAAATAGTAGTTCTTTAATATACAATGCCAATCTCAATTACTCAAGTTGGTTTTTCAATGTGTGGATTGTATCTATTCTAGAGCTTTGCTCCCCCTCCATCCCTACCTCACAGGTGTGCCAACACCCCCAGTGCCAGAAATAAGTTTGTAGCAATCTATACATGGTCAAACTCAGAAAAACTATACAAGGCAAAGTTAACTTCTACTTAATCACATACACATTTCCTTCCCATTAGTACTGCTACTGGGCCACTGGCAAGGAGCCAGGTTTATGGAGCTGACAGGTGGGCAGTAGAGAAAAGGAAAATCCTAGGAGAGCCCCTGGATGCTGCTGATGAAAAGCAGATCTCTTCCACCCCCATTCTTTAGGACCTCAGCAACTCTCTGTCAAGCAGGGGTCCAAGGAAGAGCAAAGAGACATGCAAATGAGAATGCTTTGGCTTCCCTCATGAAAGGGGTTGCCTTCAAGTGGGGAATCCCTCCCTGAACTAACCCGTAGGGACTAGGTCTGCAGCATAAGCAGTTTGTTTCCCAGATGTTGACCAGGAAGAAAAGCCTCACTCCCTGATTCTCAGGGTAGCCCCACAGGTATATCTTTAAAGATCCCTCACTCCAGGGGAAACTGGTGGCTTGGTCATTTAAGCTCTGCCTTCAGCTCAGGTCAAGATCAGGAGGATCCAGGTTCCCCCCCCAACTCCCCCCACATCCACTTGGGCTCCCTGCTCGGCAGGGTGTCTGCTTCTCCCTCCCTCTCTGCACCTTCCCTTGCTGGTGCTCTCACTCACTCTCTCCCACCTTAAAAATAAATAAATAAAAATAAAGATCCCTCACTCCTAAAATTATTTTTCACATGTTAAAGTAGATGTGGCGAAGTGCTCCTTCCCTCTTCTAAAGACACAAATGATTTTTAGAAAGTTCTGACAGGAGGACTTTCCCACTCTGAGTTGTGTTTCACTAATAAATAAGCTGCCTGGTGCCTTTCTTAACAAGAAAGCATATTATCTGACCCAGAGCAACACTGTGAGACTCTGTATCAGTCCTCTCTTTCAAACCTGCTGTCACTGCTAATACACATGTACAATCGCACCAGGGTGAGCTACAACCCAAAACAAACCATCAGCCTCTAAAATAAAGGCTAACTTGGAACCTGATTTTTGAGACCCTCAAAAAGAGACCTTTGGGGGCTCCAAGTCCCCCACAGTTTATGTGGGTCCCCCAACACAAAAATGGGACAAGACAGGCTTAAAAGGACTATTACATCATCTAAGACTCTAACTGTTCAGGTGAGTCTAATCCCATTCAGTGCCCAGCAGAGTACCACCTGAAAAATGACCTCCATGCCAAGGTTTTTATCCCTGATATTCAGAAGCAATAATAAAATATTTTGCCCACTGTTTCTTCATGGATTTCACAATATGTTTGATTCAATTATTATTTCAGGCTTTTTGAAAAGTTCCCTCTTCTTTCTGTCTGTTAATATGTGGTAATCTTAATCAGGCACAGGCAGAAATATACCAGGAATCCCCCACATGTACAGATTAAAAAATAGTATTACATAAGAAATACCTTGTAGGAGCGCCTGGGTGGCTCAGTGGGTTAAGCCTCGGCCTTCGGCCCAGGTCATGATCTCAAGGTCATGGGATCGAGCCCCGCATCAGGCTCTCTGCTCAGCAGGGAGCCTGCTCCCCCCCCCCACTCTCTGCCTACCTCTCTGCCTACTTGTGATCTCTCTCTCTCTGTCAAATAAATAAAATCTTTAAAAAAAAAAAAAAGAAATACCTTGTAGTGATCCTTAGTGACCCACTTCCATCATAAATGCTATTGGCAGTGGATCACACCAGCTTAACAACCACAAAATCAACACAATATGCAAAAAGTTCCACAGGAAATATACATCCAAGAAGCTCTAAGGGTTGAATGGCCAATTCCATTTAAGTAAAAACAAAAAACCAGGGCAGATCCCTGTTCACCTCAACTGCTTGTTCCTACCCAAAACAACTCCCAGAATCCAAATCTACTATTACTTTTCCCATCACGGAGTCTACCAACGATAATTTCACACCATCCTCCTTTCTATCCTTCCTAAGTAAGCCAAACCACTTCCCACTCCAACAAAATACTTGTTCTTCAATTCCATGTATTTCCATGAGTGAAGAGTAAACTATCTTTCTTCTTGGGCAGTACCTCCCTAAAAAAGAGACACCCCCTGTTCTTTACTGTATGTTCCTAGTGTGCTGAGTCCTTCAATACAATTTTAAATGACTGAACACTTAGACTGAAGAAAGCAAGAAGGCAAACAGGAGGATACGGAAGACCCAATGCATTTGTAAGTTTTCTGTGATACACCAAAAACACACAAGGAATAACACCTAACACATTCACATACATATGTATACCTGAAGCAAGCATCAAGAAACAATACTTGGTCTTATTAAGTACAACGCACTCTGTTTGTTTTTTTTTAATAATGGCCGTGATCCACTAAACTGGATTCCAGCTATCCAATGGGACTCAGTTTGAATGGGAGTTCAGTTTGCACTGCAATAAATCAAACCTCACAGTTGCATTCCACAAGCTACTAATAAACCCTTTAAAAAGCCAGCAGACAGCAGAGACAATGACCAATCACAAGAACCAGACACAACCAGGTAGGCCGTGCCCTTTCTCTGTCCAGCAGCCAGGGTTTAAGTAGCTCCCAATATCCCAGCTTTTCCTAAGTAACCCAAAGGTTCTCCATCCACATGCTCTTTTGTTAACCTATTTATAAATTCAATCCATCCAATCTCTTAGGATGGCAAAGTTCATTTAGGGCCCACTATGGAAAGCAATACCTCCTTTTTGTCCCCAGACCAACCCCCTTCAAGCCTGAAGAAGAGAGCCTTCCAGGAACCCTAAATTCAATGAACAAGTTGGTACTCTGCGTGCCTTTGTGATCTCTGTGGGTGCTACACAGAAGTATGCACACACATGTTGTCCCTCTCTCTCTTTCCCTCTCGAAATCTTCATCTTTCCAGTCTTAGTCCCTGGCTGATGCAGCCTCTGGTGAAATGAGAAACCTGGGAACCCCCTGGAGTCAGAGGAGCCACTCATTGGCATGACAGTGAAAGCAGTGGACTCATTCTCCACACCACAGAAGCTCCTGGCAAACGAGTCACAAAGTCATCTGAAGACCCAGGCTAGGAAACAGAAAAGACGACAGAAGTAGACAAACTCGAGGAGCCACGGCAGGGCGACCGGCTGAGGCCACCTCGCAAAGGCTGGACCGCAGTCCACCCCTCCCCAGGCCGGCCCCAGAACCCTGGGAAGGCAGGTGAGTGCAGGCGGGGGGTCGCGGGGCTCCCCGCCGCCCTTAGGGGCTGGAAGGAGAGGGTCGGGATCAGGGGCCGCCCCTCTGCCCCCAAGGGGCCCAGTAACCTCCCACTCCAGCTTCTCCCCACCCACCCCGGGGACTGCAACTTCCCTACTGCAGGGAAGAAAGAGAGCGGAGAAAAAGGAGCGTGACGCCCATTCCCCCCGGCCACCCTGCCATACCGCTCTCGCCGCCCGGGGATATCCCGCCGCGGGCCTCCCTGGCCCAGCGCCGCCTTCTCCCCCCACGCGGCCTCCTCACTGCGCCTGCGCGCCCGACCCAGCCGGGCGAGTAGCGATCTGAGAGTGCGCGCGCGCCTTGCGTGCGCCGGCGTGGGGGGTGGGACCTGCGCGGCCCCGCCCCTCCTCATTCCCCCTCCCTCCTCCCGTTCCCCCTCCCCCAGACACTGCCGCGGCCGCCGCAGGAGCCCGGAGCTTGAGCCGCCCAGCGACTCCCCCTCCCCCTCCCCCAGCCCCGCCCCGCCCCAACCCGGGGCTCCAAGCCGGAGCCGAGTCTACGCCTGGGGGTGAGTACGCGACCCTTCCCCAGCCCCTTCTCTTTTCTTTGAGGATCCTACCACCACCCAAAGAAAACCCCGGACTCAGCTGCGTGTCCCCTCCCTTCAACCTCCTGCGGGACCCAGAGGTGCCCGGGCCCGCGGGACCCAGCGGTGCCGCGCGCTGCCCCCATCCCCGCACCATCCTGAGCCAAATGCGAGTCCTCCGAACCCTGCCCGAAGGTCCAGATGTTCACCGCCGTTTGTCCCCACCCCTGGGGAGATCCCGAGGGGTGGGACCCCCCGCCCCTGCCCCCTAGCGCCACTCTTCTCCCACCTGCCCGATCCAGGTGCGCGTCCCCCGCGCGCCCCTCCAGGGTTCCAGCTGCGCCCCCATCAGCCCGCCGCCGCTGTGGGGAACCTGCCGCCCCCGCCCCCGAGTTTTGGATTCCAGGGTCGCCAAGTCCAGTGCCCTCGGTCTCTTTTATCCTTTCTTCTGTTTCCGGGGCTGAGTACCCCAGAAGCCGACCCGGGGCACGGGTTTGGGCTCGGACAGGGGCAGGGTTTGCGGGAGCTGGCGTGAGGCCGGCCGCTGCCCCCGGCCCGTCTGGGGACTGGTCGCGGGCTGGGGAGGCGACTGGCCCCGGGAGCGTGTCCTCTCCTTGCGCCCCACACAGTGCAGTTCATTCATGAGCCGCCCGGGCCTGCGTTGGAGGGTGCGGTGGGGAGAGGTTTCAGACGGAACCAGGAGTGGGGCAAAGGCCCCGTTGGGGGGAGGGGGCGCGCTTTGTCCCTCCTGGCCTTCTTGACCGACTAGAGAGGACAGTCCCAAAGATTTGGCGCCTTATTCCTCTGAAGAGAAGGTCGTTTGGGAAGTGGAGAGGAGAGGTCAGAGGGGCCGGCTGCCCTTGGGGCTCTGTGCTGCCACCTGCCTGGGTCCCCTGGGGGGAGGTCTGGCCGCTCAGCCCTCCACTTCCCCGGGGGGGGGGGGGGGGGGGGGGGCAGGGGAGTCCCAGCTTCTCTACCCAGTACTACTCTCTAGCCTTTCCCTGGGTCAGTCCAGGAAAACTGTGGCTGTGCCCAACCCCTCTTGAGGACCCTCAGTCTTGCCTCCCAGGTGCATGTGAGGAGAGGAGTGGGAGTGTCTACCAGGCTTCCAGCCCTAGTGTGCTAGCAGCATGACTGTCCTCCAGGGCACCAGAGGGTCCAGGCCCTGGCTTGCTCCAGGTGGCACATGCTGGGACCTGCTGTTGGCTCATCCAACTCAGTCTTGGCCTATGGGTGGGTAGGTGTGGATGTGGCAAGGCAGAAGCCAGGTGGTGGGTAGCTAAAGGTAGCTAGGCTGGCTAATCCCCTTTCGGACATCCTGCGAGTTCTCTCCAATGATAACGGCTTCTTAGAGACCTCAGTTCAAATTCCAGCTCTGCCATTCTTTAGCTGTGTGACCTTGACAAGTTACTTAACCTGTCTGAACCTTAATTTTAATTTAAAAGTGTGTTTACTACCACCTCCTTACATGATCTACCATAGGGATCAACTAGATAACAGGTAAAGAACCTGGCGCCCTGCCTGGTGGTTGATCAATAACAGGTTCTCTTCTCTGAACTCCTGACCCATCCTGGCATAACATCACTCTCCCGTACCCCCCAGCTTTCTGGCCTGCTGCAAATGGATTCGGTATGTTTGAAGAGTTTGGGGCCACTCCCTGCCACTTAGTGGCAGAGTCCTGAATGGCCATATAAGCCCTTGGGTCTAAAAAAGAAGCCCATCCTGACCAAGGGGCTCCATCATTAAAGTCTGTTTTCCTTTGTTTTTATTTTTACCAGTTTCCTCCACCAAACCAACCCTTTTATGCCTCTCTTTATCAATAACATTAGCTGATTTTTTTTAGAATCTATCACATGCCTTGAACTGTATTAAGAGCTTTACATAAGTCATCTTGTTTCGTTCTCAAAACAAACCACACAACTGAATTATTATTCTCATTTTCAGATGAAGAAACTGAGGCCGAGGGTGGTGAAATGTATTTTCCCAGGTCAGCAGCCAGATCTGTCTCATCCTAGAGCCTGAACTCTTAGCTCCCAGGCTCTGCCACCTGTCTTCTGCACTTCTCTCAGAACCTGGAATCACAAACGCAAGGTCTGAGTGGAGGGTCTCACGGCAGGCAAGAAGGAGGGCAAACAGAAATAGGATGTGGCATTTCTCCAGAGCTGTAGCAGGCACTCCGTGGCCCCCAACTCCCAGGCCCCTGGTAGAAGCTGCTCTGTTGGCCATGGCAGCAAAATGCAGTGGCCAAGAGCATATACTTAAGCCAGGCTACCTGGGTCCATATCCGGATCTGTGACAGAGTGGCTGTGTGACATTGGGCAAATTGTGTACCTTCTCTGTACCTCAGTGTCTTCTCTGGGTCCTGATGGCCAGGAAATGAGATAACACGTGTAAAGCACTTAGTACCTGGCACAAAATCAGAGTAAAACAAACATTTGAGAATACATCCTTTTCCTACTGCTTTTATCCTCACTCAGTGATACTTTTTGCCCTTCCCTGTGAAGTTGGGGGTGGGGGTGAGGCGAGGATATTAATACATCTTTGCTACAGTTTGGAAGACTGATACCCAGGTTACATAGTAGCAGAGTGGGCCTCCATTGTCTTTTCCTCCCTTCAGACCACACCGCCTTCCTAGGAGCACAGGCCCTAAATGAAATCTTCCCGAATAAATCTGGAAGGAAAAAGCTTTTAACTTACAACTCCCCCACCCTCACAGCGCACAAACTTCTTAATGGTAAAATAACAACCTTTCAATAGCTGGAAATAAAATCTTCTACCACCCTCTACACACTGCCAGCTAAAGCCTCAGTGTCAGACTAGAGAAATTCCAGGATACAGCTGGCTGAGTGGATGAACTGCCCCCCCAACTCGTCCCTGCCCCCCGATATTGGGCCTCAGTCTCTTTCCTCCAACCAGCTACTCTCACTAAAAGTTTTGAGCAGCTGCTCTAGGTGAACTTCAGCCCAGCAGCCCCGCCCCACAACCCCCTCAGTTTGGAACTCGGAGGAAGAACCCAGTCCACCTGAAGAGCCACCAGCTCTGGCTCTACCTTTACCTGCCCTGTGATCTCTTGTGGGTTGCTTCTGCTCCGTGGGTCCCTGCTTCCTCCCCTGTAAAGTGGGTGATAGTGATCTGATCCAGCAAGTGTGCCCTGCCTTCCTTAGGTTTGGAGGGCGGTGTAAGATCAATGCGTTTGTGGAGGGGAGAGGGCTTTGTGACTGTAAAGAAGGAGGCAGCAGATGGATATGGTCATTTCAGTTACTAAGCGTCTGCCTGGACCTTCACCCACCCTATGGGGCCCCCTTAAAAGCTCCCAGAATGTTCCACCTTCCTTTGGTGTGGAGAGGACTATGTTGGTGGGGGCGGGGGGATGCCAGGGGTTTGTACCCATTACATTCTGGCCTGGTGGAGCCTTGGAGTTAGGGAAACAGTAGAATCTGTCTTGATTGCCAGAGTGCATTGGAGCTGGGAGTTAGGGAGGGGAGCCACTCCTGCAGAGGGTCCCCAACTACCACAGACCCAAGCTACCTCTACCTACCTTTAACCTCACCTTTAACCATAGTGCCCCAGCGTTCTATGCATCTTATGTTTACATACCCAGGCTCCCAGACACACCCCCACCCACATCCCAACTTAGAGATCAGTCACCTACCTCTCCCCTACACACACACACACACACACACACATTCCACATGTGTACACACCTGAACGTACACATTGCCTCAGTGCTCTGGTGTTTTCTAGCTGGAGAACATTTAATGGGCATGTACAAAGCTTCCATGTTATGCAGAGCCCTGTTCTAGGCACATCAGAAGAGCTTGGTGCCCTGAACACTGTTCTAGCTTTAAAAAGAGGTTGATGTAGTTTTGAACCCCATCTTTTTCTTTTTAAAGAATTTATTTATTTATCTGACACAGAGCAAGCGAGAGAGACAGAGAGCAAGCACAAGCAGGGGGAATGGCAGGCAGGAGAGAAGCAGGCTCCCTGGTCAATAAGGAATCCCATGTGGGGCTGGGTCCCAGGATCCCCGGATCATGACCTGAGCCAAAAGCAGCCTATTAACCAACTGAGCCACCCAGGCGCCCCAACCCCGTTGTTTTATTAGCAGTGTGACTTAGGGAAAGTTACTTAATCTCTATAAGCCCCTGTGCCCTTATCTTAAAATGGTAATAATATCCAACTCAGGATTGTCAAGGATTAAATAAAACACATATGTATTATTCTTGAAACAGTGGGCACTTGGTGCCTGTTGCAATCACTGAATTAATGGAGTTTTGGGGTTTTTTGGTTTGGGGTTTTTTAAGGCAACTTGAGCGGCAGGGAAGAGGGAGGCATAACACATCAGGCAGGTACGACCTTAGCCTTCCTAACATAGGCTTTCCAGAGACTCCCTGGGACCAAGTGAAACATATAAACAACCACAGCTTCCCCCTCCATGCGAGAGCTGGTGACTCTTGCCCTGTAATTGAAGTGTTAGGAAGAGGCTGGGGAAAACCAGGGATCAGTGGGCAGGAGAAACCCTCTGAGTCCCGCCGCCCCCCACAGGGGGCTGGAGGATGCTTGCTCCCAGAGTTACTGTCACTGATTCTAGGTTTGTTGTTCTCTCTCTTTGTCTGGTTTCCTCTCTTCCCTGGGGAGCCCCCCTCAAGGCAGAGTTTCAGTGTTGTCAGCAGAAGGGGTCCCTAGGGGCCCCCCAATAGGACGCGGGTGGGGCAGCAGTGCCTCGGCCACATTTCTCCTCCACCCTAGGAGCCTCCCCAG